GGGCAGTTCCACTCTGTCCTCTAGGGGCGCTGTTAGTCAGAATCGACTGGACAGCAGTGCTGTTGGTTTGGGCTTTGCTTCCATAAAGATTGACAGTCTTGGAAACGCTATGGGGCAGTTCTATTCTGCCCTCTAGGTGCGCTGTGAGTCTGAATGACTGGGTTAACAGTGGGTTTTGCTATTTGTTTTCTGTGCTGCTTTTGATACATCGAACTGACAAACAACACTCTTTCTGTCTGTGCTTCTTTCAGGCCACGAGGGCAGCCATTACTCAGCACTGTACCGACCTGGGGAATTTGCTGGGCAAGGAAAACGATGTGGCGCTCATTATTGACGGCCACACGCTCAAATACGCACTCTCCTTCGAGGTCAGGAGAAGCTTCCTGGACTTGGCGCTCTCATGCAAAGCGGTGATATGTTGCAGGTAGGCAAGTGCAAGCTACGCATGATTCATTTCCAGATAAGTCTTTTTTTTTTCCCTCCCCCCATATATTTTTATCAAATAAATCGACGCCTGGGGATAATTGGCCAAAAGTTTTGTATCTAAAACTGGCCAAATGAAAGTACTCTACATTCAGTTTTACTGCCAGTTTGAGAATGTGGCAGTCGGCAGTCTGGTTTGTAAATTTCTGCTCTGTGTGTTGTCTTCTAAGAAGATAATGAGAAATAAGAGTCAGGACCTCCAGTCCTCTTCCTGATGGGGGAGAAGCGAGGCAAACTCTGCCTCAAGCTCACGTGGGAATGTGTCAAGAGGTCCCAGGAGCCGGAGTACTGGGTTCTAGAGGTGTGAGCTGGGGAGTTCCAAGATCTGGGGGGTTGCCTGCATCTTTTCTGATGTCCAGCAAGTCTTTCTCCTTAGTCAACATTGAGCTTGTGCCCAGAGCGACCAAGTAGTTGAACCTGCAGGCTTGGGATCATAGTCACAGGGGACATCAAGCTCAGTTGGCATAACATACTATACAAAACATTGTTCCACCTCCTACTTTGGTGAGTAGCAACTGGGATCTTAAA